CTGGTCATGACAGATGGGTAGGATTTATATAGGCAGAGATAAGTGGGAGAGAATTACAGCGGTAGGCACAAAGCCTTGGAGTAGATTTTGGAAAGGAGAATGAAAGAAAATTCATTAAGAGGAAGAAATTGAGAATAATAAGGATAGAGGTGATAATTGTAGGTCTCAGGGAAGCAGAAAATAAAGGTTCCAAAGCAGAGGTGGAATGATGAGCTTTTAAGAAGAAATTAGGACCCAATTCCCTTGAGACTGGAAGGAAGAAAAGGAGGGAAAAAGTAGGAGGCAATATATAGTGCATTGCAGAAGAAAATCTATAAGGGAGCTTATGCAAGATGGCCTCAACTATCATGCATTAGGAAGGCTATGTGATCACCTCCTGAACATGGTGGTAGGAGAAAATATAGGCTTGAAGAGAAAGGAGCAAGTCTAAAGGTCAACCATGGAGTATGTGCCAGGTTGTAGAGGAAAAATGAGTAACAGTCTTGCTGAGAACTTAAAGGCCAGGCTAAAATCAAACATTTATTCATCTTTCACACCAACATTTATTGAACACCTATCACTCTTCCTTCATTTCTTCATTCATCATTTTGTTAGCACCCACTATGTGTCTGATGCAAAGACGAAGCTATTTATGAAGTATGCAGAGTCTTTTGGGAGGAAGAGATGGTATACAGCCAAGGGCTAACCTTAGTGTGTCCAATGTGATGCCTGCTGTAGTGATGCCTGCTGGTTGCCATCTGAGTAAACAGTTAATTCAAGGAAGAATTCACAGAGCTACCTCATTTGAGGTGGACCTTAAGGAGTAAGAAAAGAAGAGGAAAGCCTGGGAAAGACGGTTCATAGAAAGGAATAAAATTAGTGTGTGAGAGAGCGTGCCACATAAAGGGAAGTTTTGAGCAATCTGGTAGTAGAACCCAGGATGGGAGGAAGACTAGGGGGTCACTATGAGTCGGAATTGACTCTATGGGAACTAACAACAACAGGGCATTTGCCTAATGGAATATACCTCTTTCTAATATTTTACCTCCCTCTAACATTTTTAATGGAGCCCTGGTGGCGCAGTGGTTAAGAATTTGGCTGCTAACCATAAGGTTGGCAGTTCGAATCCATCAGCCACTCCTTGGAAACCCTATCAGGCAGTTCTCCTCTGTTCTATAGGACTGCTATGAGTTGGAATCGACTCGATAACAATGGGTTTTTGACATTTTTAAGCTGAAAGTAACACATTTGGCAGAAATACAAATAATGTTTGGAGAGAACAGACCCTTACCTACTTGAATAAGTTAATATGATGCTTTAAAAGTATGTAAGTATTCCATTGGTAGCTCTTAACTTTTGCTTTATGTTCTTAGAGTGACTTAGTGTTTTAAAATAATATTAAACTACCCTTGAGCATGATGAGCTCTTACAAATACCAGTACAATGTTAAGAAGCATAAGTATGCTCATATGAGTCAATTTTATGTACTTGTTTTTATTTTGGGATAATCTCAGAGAATTGGTTTTGGAACATCTCATTTCCATATCATATACAGTAGCTTGGGGAGAAACACGACTTACCGTGCTATCATTTCCTGTAGTCAGAAGAAAGACAAGTTTTGCTTTTTTGTCCTCACTGAACAGAAAACTTTTCTATCTAATGGAATGTGTCTGTTGACAAAACACTGCTTGCATGGGGTTTTTAAAACAGTTATCTGTTTATAATTAAAACGAGAACATTAAAGCTGTACGGGGCCAGTCTTAGAACTTAGAGATTGAGAACATGCATTACACATCCTGGCTCTTTTCCAAAAAACTATCCTCAAGAAGTTATTTAAATTTCATTTTTTTGGTGGCCCCCAGAGAAGATAGTACTCCAGTTCATTCCATCAGACTCTTCACAATACTTATAATTTGATTCAGGGCACTTTAATTAACAATGTGAACAGAATTATGCTGTGATAATTGTACAGGCATGTTGTCAAGCAGCTGATGTTAAAAATTTCATCTGCTTTAACTCAAGAAAAGGTTTAAACACAGAAGAAAACATTCTTTGATGGTTACGAGGGTGGGGAGGGAGGGAGAGGGGTATTCACTAACTAGACAGTAGACAAGAGTTATCTTAGGTGAAGGGAAGGACAGCACACACTACAGGGGAAGTCAGCACATCTGGACTAAACCAAAGCTAAGAAGTTTCCTGAATACAGTCAAACACTTCGAGGGACAGAGTAACAGGGGCAGGGGTCTGGGGACCATGCTTTCAGGGGACATCTAGGCCAATTGGCATAACAAAGTTTATTAAGAAAAAGCTCTGCATCCTACTTTGGTAAGTGGCATCTGGGGTCTTAAAAGCTAGCAAGCGGCCATCTAAGATGCATCAATTGGCCCCAACCACCTGGAGTAAAGGAGAATGAAGAACACCATAGACACAAGAAAAGTATTAACCCAAGAGACAGAAAGGACCACATAAGCCAGAGCCTCCATCAGCGTGAGACCAGAAGAACTAGATGATGCCCGGCTACCACCAATGACTGCCCTGACAGGGAACACAACAGAGAGTTCCTGATGGAGCAGGAGAAAGGTGGGGTGCAGAACTCAAATTCTAGTAAAAAGACCAGACTTAATGGTCTGACTGAGACTGGAGGAAGCCCAGAAGGCATGGCCCCCAGACTTTCTGCCAACCCAAAACTAAAACCATTCCCCAGGCCAACTCTTCAGACAAAGTTTGGACTGGACTGTGGGACATAAAATGATACTTGTGAAGAGTGTGCTTCTCAGCTCAAGTAGATACATGAGACTAAATGGGCAGCTTCTGTCTGCAGGTGAGATGAGAAGCCAGAGAGGGTGAGGAGTTGGTTGAATGGACATGGGAAATCAGGGATTGAAAGGAGGAGTGTGCTGTCACAGTATAGGGAGAGCAATTAGGATCACATAATGTATGTATAAATTTTTGTATGAGAGACTAACTTGAAATGTAAACTTTCACTTAAACAACAACAATAAACAAACAAAAAATTTCATCTACTTTAAATACACGTTGCACACTTACTGAATTAGCTTCTACTTCTTTTGTGGCCTCTTGGGAAATGTGTCCAGGGAAGATATATCTCAATTATTTAAAGAAACATCCTGAAATTTTCTTTTTCATTAAGCCCCGTATTTTTTTTTTTCCTGCCAACATATAACTTTTGTTATTCTCAGAATTTATATTGGACACTGCATTAATTGGAAAGGTAAAACAATAATATGAGTTAATTCTGAAAAAAAATAAATAAATAATAATAGATGTCACATCAGATGTGCCCTGGGGAGTAAGAATGTACATTTTGTGTTTTCTCTGGTTCTAAATCTAAAGGTGTTATTTGCTTTTTCTGTTGAACTCTGGATGGCTCCATTTAACTGTTTTGAACTCCAACTGGCTTTTATTTCTGTTGTATTTGAATGAGGAGTCAGGAAATTCTGTTAGGATTACATATTATATGGTTATGAACTACTTAAATAAGATAACGAGACACATCACATATAGTACTGTATTTCAAAATGATGTTGTTATGTTTTCTGCTGTCTGTGGGCCTTTTCATGTATCTTCTTAAAGACTTGCATATATAGGACAACTGAGAAAAAAATCTGCACTTCCTTTCCCATTTTATACTTCCTTTGAGCCCTGGTTAAGAGGCTCTTAACCCCCCTGGGGTTAAGAGCTCAGCTGCTAACCAAAAGGTCAGCAGTTTGACTCACCAGTCGTTCCATGAAAACCCTGTGAGGCATTTCTATTCTGTCCTATATGGTCACTATGAGTTAGAACTGAGTTGATGGCAACAGGCTTTACACTGTGCATAACCAATCAGTTGCTTTCTAGTTGACTCTGGCCCATGGCGATCCAATGTGTGTCGGGGTAGAACTGTGTTTCATGGGGTTTTCAGTGGCTAAGTTTTTGGACAGAGATTTAAAAAAAAAACAATCCAAACCCATCGCCATCTAGTCGATTCCAATTCATAGCAACCCTATAGGACAGAGTAGAACTAAAACTGCCCCGTAGGGTTTCCAAGGAGTGACTGGTGGATTCAAACTGCTGACTTTCTGGTTAACAGTCAAGCTTTTTAACCACTGCACCTAAGGCATCTCCAGATGGACACGAACCTCTAACCTTTCAGTTAACAGCCAGCACTTAACCATTTTCACCACCCAGGGACTCCATACCATGCATAACTATACAGAAATTTGATAACAGAGAGGCGAGAGGGAGAGAAGAAAGAGTGAGCATCTGTATGTGCAGAGCACTGGGTGAGATGCTGTCAAGGTTGCAAGACAATACCAGTTTACAGGCTGCCCAGGTGCTTAACATAACATTATATGAACAAGCAAACTCACAAGAAGTTAATGAATTCAAGACTGAAAGTGATAAAATGTTGAGAGAAATCTAGCCAGTCAGTACTTCCATGGGAAGTCATTGTGGACTGGAGTATTTATGCTTTTGGGGGAAGAGAGAAAGGCTTCAAAGAGGTAGGGAAGCGTTGTCCTGTGACAAGCTGTGTCCTGCTGTCTCCCATTTAAAGGCAGGTACTGACAGTTCTGAATGTGGCACTTTGGGGAAGGGAGGAGGGATAAGGATGTGGCAGGTCATCTCTCCCTCCTTCTCCATACCCCCCCACCCCTGCCCCTACACACACACCGTGAAGTAGTGGTGCTAAGCATTTGGGGAAAATAGGAGTATTGCACCCTGGCCACATACTTGCATATCTTTGCATGTGAATCCACTGTCAGTGAAGAATATCAGAGCCACTGTTCCTCTTGGGTCATGATTTTCTGCTTCATAAGAAGTTGTTTAGTTTATTGAAAATATTCCTAAATGTCTAATCTGAGGTAAATGAACCAAATTGCATTCTTATATTTCCTATTAATGGCAGTGACTGCTGTGTTCAGTTCAGGTTCCTTGGATTCAAACCATATGCAATTATCATTTACTCATAGTACATCAGTTTTAAAGGGAGTTAGCCTTACCCATGTTATTTTCTTTTTCAGACAAATGGACACCTACCTGGGAATGGAGATGTATATCAAGAAAGGCTAGCACGTTTAGAAAATGATAAAGAATCCCTTGTTCTTCAGGCAAGTGTCTTTTAAATGTTGATCTTTCCTACCAACATACTTACAAGGACTTTATTTTAAATAGGAGTGGCAAATTCTGAAGCTTACAGAAACCAGACTGCGAACAGAAATAAATGCAGTAGGCCATCTGTACACAATAGGGAGCAGTGGGGACTGTGGCAGAATGAGAGTATACACACCCAGTCTAGACGGAGCAGCCCCCAATCAGCCTCAGTTCTTCAAGGACTATTCTGAATACAGGTATAATGTCATCTGATCTGATGTTTTAATATTAGAAAATCAGGTTTTTATAAAAATACATACACATTTTTTAATTTTTCAATTTTTCAAATGATACCATGGGCCAAACAGAACACTACTGTGAGTGAAGTCCTGCTTATGGGCTGAATTTCAGGATCTGTTTTAAATTTTTGACAAATATTTTTATTTTGATATTTTGAGATACTTGAACTAGATTATAACTAGTAGACTGATGATCTTTGTGGGGAAAACACAGTAATCTTCACTAAATATCAAGGATAAAGAACTAACCCAATGGCTCCTCATGGACTAGTAGGGTGTGATGAGTTACAGCTTTGCGCAGATTCTTGTAAACAATGTGATCTTAAAAGATCTGATGGGATTTGAGTTCTCTGGGGTTCTTTCTTTATTCTTCTTGAAGCTCCAAATTTGAACCAAAAGAAAAACTACACGCTTGCCACCAAGTCAATTCCAACTCATAGCAACCCTATAAGACAGAGTAGAACTGCCCCATATAGTTTCCAAGGCATGGCTGGTGGATTTGAACTGCTGACCTTTTGGTTAGCAGCTGAATGCTTAACCACAGCACCACCAGGGCTCCTCAGATTCGAACAGTCATTGATAATTTCTGTTTCAAGCACTAGTTTCATTTCCTCTCTTAACTTCCAATACTGCCCTCCCTTCAAAAAAAGATAATTTGTGTACACACTGAAAAGGAGTCCTTTAGGTGAAAAAGCAACATATAAATAAGAATGTGAAGGACTGCTGCCTTCTCATTAATTGTCAGATTTTTTTTCTTACAACCAAATGAGTGGCTAGATTATTCCAATGTTTGTTCTATTTAAAGAAATAAAGTATGCAATGGGACCCAAAATTCTTTTTAACTCACTGCAGGATTCTGTTCTAAATATAGGTAAGCGTGTTAACAGACCAGGTAGAGGCTCAAGGAGAGAAGATTCGAGACTTGGAGTTTTGTCTTGAAGAGCACAGAGAGAAGTTGAATGCCACAGAAGAAATGCTGCAGCAAGTATGTAGACAAGCAGGCACCGGGGTGGGATTTTCCTGCTGCACTATTTAAGGTGCTACATTTGTATGCTGTGTTAGCTCTGATGGAGTGGTTAAGTTTGTGATTCATTTAGACTGGCATATTTTACGTGGAAATCTAGAGTAGCAGTGTCTCAAAACACATACACACAACATCAAGTATTTATGTAATTAGAACGTGGAATAAAATATTAATAGGGCTATGAGTGATCTGATTTTTTTCTTTGTTTTCATATGGTTTTCTTTCAACCACAAGCCCATGTATTTTATATTTAAGAAAAAAGATAATCACCATATATGACTTTTTTTTATTCGGAAAAAACTGTTAATGTACATACATACACACATACATATGCTACTCATATATGAGAGGCTTTATAATATAATGAGGAAACCCTGGTGGAGTAGTGGTTAAGAGCGCAGCCACTAACCAAAAGGTCTACAGTTTGAATCCACCAGGTGCTCCTTGGAAACCCTATGGGGCAGTTCTTCTCTATCCTTTAGGGTCACTATGAGTCGGAATCCACTTGACAGCAACAGGCTTGTAGTTTGGTTTTTTGATAGTATAATGAAGGAGTCTGCTGGCACAAGAAGTTTGCGATCGGCTGCTAGTGTAAAGGTTGGTGGTTTGAAACCACCCAGTAGCTCTGCAGAAGAAAGCCTGGTGAACTGTTTCCATAAAGATTACAGCCAAGAAAACTCTATCGAGCAGTTCTACTGTGCAACACATGGAATTGCCATGAGTTGAGGGCTAACTAAGAGCTAACAACAATAATGAGAAGAGTACAAACCATAGTGAGACTATCTAGATTTGAATCCCTGCTCTGCTGTTTATTTGCGGCGTGACTTTTGGCAAGTTCTTATTAACTCTCTGTTCCTCAGCTTCCTCATCTGTTTAATAGGAGTAATAAGAATTTCTACTTTATAAGATTGTTGTGAGGATTAAACCACTTAACATATGCCAGAACAGTGCCTGGCACGTAGCAAACATAATATCATCATTATCATCATAAATGTTTTCATCATTGAGCTTCAGAATATACAGGATTTATGTATGTATGTGTATCTACATCATGTATGTCTCCTCTGATAAACAGATGTGTTTAGTTCTGTTCAAATGAGGGTAACTAAAGTTAATATTTTTGTTAAAGTGTGTATATTTAGTAATTATATATTCTCTCCACTACTTGATAGTTGCTACTTTGCAATCATAAATAAGACAAATCCACATGTGACTGGTTATGATGAAACTTTTGATTCTATCTATTAAATTCTCAATAGGAGCTTCTGAGCAGGACATCTTTAGAAACTCAGAAATTGGACCTGATGGCTGAAATATCTAACTTGAAGTTAAAACTTACTGCTGTAGAGAAGGACAGATTGGATTATGAAGACAGGTTCAGAGACACTGAGGTAAGTGACACCATCTCTCTTTGTCTCTCTCTTTCACACACACACACACACATTCATAGAGCAAAGTTGAAATACCTTGGAGGTGTGAAGGGACAGCAGTTAATTAAGTTATACCTACATGTATGCTTCTTTTTAATAAACTTTATTTATGTTGACTTTTTATCACGAAAATGTTAATGGCAGTTTTTATTTTGAGACTTTTGATATGAAATATTAATCGTTTCATTAACCATTAGAAATACTTTTGACGTCGTCGTTGTTGTTGTTAGGTGGCATTGAGTTAATTCCGACTCATAGCGACCCTATGTACAACAGACCAAAACACTGCCTGGTCCTTCACAATCCTTGCTATGCTTGAGCCCGTTGTTGCAGCCACTGTGTTAATCCATCTTGTTGAGGGTCTTCCTCTTTTTTGCTGACCCTCTACTTAACCAAGAATGATGTCCTTTCTCCAGGGACTGATCGATCCCTCCTGATAACATGTCCGAAGTATGTGAGATATAGTCTCGCCATCCTTGCTTCTAAGGAGCATTCTGGTCGTACTTCTTCCAGGACAGATTTGTTTGTTTTTTTGGCAGTCCGTGGTGTATTCAGTATTCTCCGCCAAAACCACAATTAAAAGGCATCAATTCTTCTTCAGTCTTCCTTATTCACTGTCCAGCTTTGACATGTATATGAGGCGATTGAAAACACCATGGCTTGGGTGAAGTGCACTTTAGTCTTCAAGATGACATCTTTGCTTTTCAACAGTTTGAAGAGGTCTTTTGCAGCAGATTTGCCCAATGCAATGTGTCGTTTGATTTCCTGACTGCTGCTTCCATGGGTGTTGATTGTGGATCCAAGTAAAATGAAATCCTTGACAGCTTCAATCTTTTCTCCGTTTATCATGATGTTGCTTATTGGTCCAGTTGTGAGGATTTTTGTTTTCTATATGTTGAAGTGTAATCCATACTGAAGGCTATGGTCTTTGCTCTTCATCAGCAAGTGCTTCAAGTCCTCTTCACTTTTGACTTTAGGATATTTGGAACTACTATCTATGCAGCCATCTATCCATGCTGGTTTTCCTAATTTTGTAAATAATAAGCTTAAGTGCATTGTTTTACAAGTAGGCATTATTTAGCTACACTGATATTTATTGTATAATAAGTGGGCATTTGTTATATGTATAGAGAATATGCTTACTCTATCTAATCATAAAATCACAGTGCTTTTTAGAAGTCATTTAATTTAGCCTTCTACTTTGGGGCTATTACAAAACCTATATTTTTCCAAATATAGGAGACTCAGTATATTTTTGTGAAATTCAGGATAGATTCTGCAACTTGAAGTACTCATTTTAGTGGCTAAATAAGCTTTATTTTTTTTCTTCTTATTTTATTGTTAATCCAGGTCTTCCGGTTTGTTTGTTGTTTTGTTAGTGGAGGGGGAGACAGTATCCATTTGAAATCTAATCATTTGAAATGAAATATAAACAGCTGCAGAAATTCCCTCACTCCGAAGGCCTTCTCCCCTCCTTTTCTCTATTTTGTTTCCTCAGTTGGGGCTGTATGGACGAGTGTCACACTGGGTCAGAAAATGAGTACCAAGAAGGAGATAGAGGAGGAAATCATTAATTTTTCATCTCTGTCTTCATTTCGGAAACTGTGGTGGCGTAGTGGTTAGGAGTTTGGCTGCTAACCAAAAGGTTGGCAGTTTGAACCCACCAGGTGCCCTTGGAAACCCTATGGGGCAGTTCTACTCTGTCCTATAGGGTCGCTATCAGTCGGAATTGACTTGATGGCAACCAATTTGTTTTGTTTTGTTTTTTGATCTTCATTTCAAACATTTATTGCATGCCAACTATATGCCATCATGATACCAAGTACTTTACATATATTATCCACTGTATGCAAGTTCTTTATGGATCTGAAGATGATAATGTTTATCCCACTGCTGTTTTCAAAATTAAGTTTTCTGTCAAAGATCTGAGTACAATAAAAAGTCTTGGTATATATGTCTTGCTTCATCAGTAGCAAAAGGAAATCTCTAACTTGGTTCATGTTTGAAACTTAAAGCTGTTTGCCAGCTGTTTACTTCTCATTAGATTGGGATTGGGGCTTTTAAAATAGTATTTAGAAAGTTAATTTCTTTAAAATTCTTGCCTTTGTGCTTTCTTTCATGATGTGTTCCAGTATTTTCCTCCTGTCATTCCCTGACCACACAGTTGCTGTAAACAATAACAGAACTCAGTCAACAGATGGAAAACGTGGCAGTGGAGCTAGTTCTACTGCTGGGAAAGAAGTTAACAATAAATGGGGATCAAGAAGTGACCTTTTACATTATATATGCAAAATTCAGGGGAAGTCTTAACGTGCACAACTGCTGTTAGTTTAATTTGGGTATAACATGTTAATCAAACATTAGGATTAAATTGCACTGTTTTATGGTTTTTTTAAGACCTTGGAGCAATGTTTTTGTCCCTTCGGCTTTTTATATACCAAAAGCCAAACCCATTGCTGTCGAGTCAATTCCAACTTATAGCGACCCTATATGATGGAGTAGAACTGCCCCATAGGGTTTCCAAAGCTGTAATGTTTGTGGAAGCTGACTGCCACATCTTTCTGCCTTGGAGCAGCTGGTAGATCAAACTGCTGACCTTTCTGTTAGCAGCCGAGTGCTTAACCATTGTGCCACTGAGGCTTCTTAAGTTTTGTATACAGTTTTTTTTAACAAGTCCTTTCTTACTTCACCCATGCATTCTTAATTTTATGCAAAATTACCTTATAGTCAAACGTCCAATAAACTCAACCTCTGATAATTTTGTAATAAATATCAACACTCTTGGTAAAAGTAATATACACATACCCAGATTATAGGATTTTTAATAAACTTTGCGATGTTATATGTGTAAATAATTAAAACCTAAATGAATATGCCTATTCTTCTTATTATTTTTCCCTTAACAAGAGTAAATAGGTACTTGGCTATTTCATGAACCTAACATCCTTTAACTTTGTCTTAGAATTTAAGATCATTTGGATAATAATTTCTAAGAAAATATTGGAGTGGGGAAGAAGTAGAGATATTTCCTAAAGATTGTGGGGGAAATCTAAGTGTTGGAAGATTTAAGATTGCTTGTCCTAGGAATTACTGCTGGGAGGTGGTTAACATCATTCAGTAGTGCCCCCTTCTGGTCAAGAGCACAGACGTCAAAAACTGAGTTACAGTAGCCCAGAGAGTTCTGCAAGGGAAAGGTAACAGAGATTTTCTTTTTAAAAAGGACTGCACTTTTGTTAAGAAGTAGTTGAAATAACTTGTATTCCATTTTTAAAAGTATTCACATTAAGGGGCCTATTTCCAGATTTTCCAGCTTGAGTTATGATAGGAACCTATGATTCCTTTCAGGTTGGAGATATAAATTCCAGTTGAAAGTATTATCACAAAAGATAATTGGTAGTTTGTTTGTTTTTTTTAACAGAAAAATGATCCCATTTTATAACTTCATCTTCTTCAATTGTTTCTTCTCTGCAAATTGCCACTATTTCTAAAGGAAGTGGTACAATACAACACTACCAAACAAGAAAGTTGTTTCTTAACAGTGAGAAAGCGAGAAGTATGTATAAAAGACAGGATTGATAAAGGAAGATCACTGAGGACTCATAGTATGCAAGAATAATTAGTTTAAATGAATGGGAGAAACTGGAACTTTTTCCTTGAACTTGAATTGTCGTCACAACTAAGTGTTATTGAATGATGTCAAAGAGTTCTCTGCCTTATATGTAAAAAGGAGAAAATAGATTTACTCTGTTTGAAACATTGTGTGATTTTTTTTTAAATTTTTTTTTATTGTACTTCAGATGAAGGTTTACAGAACAAATAGTTTCCCATTAAACAGTCAGTACACATATCGTTTTATGACATTGGTTAACAACCCCACGACTTGTCAACACTCTCCCTTCTCCACCTTGGAGGACCTTTTTTTTTTTTTGGTGAAAATATACATAGCCAATGTTATACCATTTCGAAAGTTTCTACATGTACAATTCAGTGACATCGATTACATTCTTCCGGTTGTGCTGCTATTCTCACTATCCTTTTCCAAATTATTCCATCACCATTATCTTCAACTCACTGCCCCCTAGGTTTGCCATCAAACCTTTTGAGTTGCTGTTGTCAATTTGATCTCACATAGATAATTCTTTTTTTTTTTTTTCTTTTTGTACCTTAGATGAAGATTTGTAGAACAAACAGTTTCTCATTAAACAGTATACATATTGCCCTATGACAATGGTTAACAACCCCACAATATGTCAACACTGTCCCTCCTCAACCTTGGGTTCCCTATCACCAGCTTTCCTGTCCCCTCCTGCCTTCGAGTCCTTGTCCCTGGACTGCTGGGCCTCATTAGTTCTGTTTTGTTTTATGAGGCTGTCCAGTCCCTGGCTGAATGGTGAACTTCGGGAGTGATTTCACCACTGAGCTAAAAGGGTGTCTGGGGGCCATACTCTCAGGGTTTATCTAGTCTGTCAGGCCAGTAAATCTGGTCTTTTTATTGTGAGTTAAAAATTTTGTTCTACATCCTTTTCCAGCTCTGTCCAGGACCTTCTGTTGTGATCTGGTCAGAGCAGTCAGTGGTGGTAGCCGGCCACCATCCAGCTGTACTGGACTCAGTCTGGTGGAAGCCGTGGTAGCTGTGGTCCATTAGTCCTTTGGACTAATCTTTTCCTTGTATCTTATTCTCTTCATTCTCCCTTGCTCCTGAAGGAGTGAGACCAGTGGAGTATCTTAGATGGCTGCTTACAGGCTTTTAAGACCCCAGATGCTACTCACCAAGGTAGAATGTAGAACATTGTCTTTATAAACTGTGTTATGCCAATTGAGCTAGATGTTCCCCGAGACCACGGTCTCCACAGCCCAGCAATTCAGTCCCTCAGGGAGTTTGGAAGTGTCTGTGGAGCTTCCATGTACAAGTTGTACTGGCTTCCTCAGTATTGTGTAGTCAAACCCTTCCCAAAGTTACCACTTATCTATTGTCTGTTTGATTCCCCGCCTACCCCCCCGTCCCTTGTAACCAACAAAGATTGTTTCTTTTTGTGGGTAAACTTTTACATGAGTTTTTACAGTAGAGGTCTCATACAATATTTGTCCTTTTGTGATTGACTTATTTCACTCAGCATAATGTCCTCCATTTTCATCCATGTTATGAGATGCTTCACAGATTCATCATTGTTCTTTATCTTTGCATAATACTCCACTGTGTGTATGTGCCATAGTTTGTTTATCCATTCATCTGTTGATGGGCGTCTAGTTGTTTCCATCTTTTTGCTATTGTGAACAGTGCTGCAATGAATATGGGTGTGCATATATCTATTTGTATGACGGCTCTTATTTCTCTAGGATATACTCCTAGGAGTGGGATTGCATTTTGTGGTGCTTCTTTTTGTGGTGCTGATGTTTTCTTTGTTCCTCTTACTCTCCTGTGCTGAGTTCCTTTTGTTTGTGGATTTTTTTTTTTCATTTCCTCTGTTTTTGTAGGTTTTATTTTTACTGAGACTTTATGTTTTTCTTCTTTATTTTGATGAGTAGGTTTGTTAACTTTCTTTGTGGTTACCTTGGAATTTACCCTTATCTTCCTAGATTTGAACCAGTCTATTATTACTTGGTATCGCCTTGTCTTCCTCTCCATTAGAAGGTTCTATACCTACACCGTTTATTCCCTCTTTTATTGTTCTGAAGCTGCTGTCATTTACAGATTAACCTCTCTGGTTCCCTTTTGTAATTACATTGAGTGATTATTAATAAGCAATTATTATATAATAATGCTAAGTAAGAATTAATATTTTTCGCCATTTTACAAGAGACCACAATTTCAATGCATATGGATATTCATCTGGGAAGAGTATCACTTTTCCTAGCCTTTGTGAGCTTGTATCATCCCACTAGGAAATTTAGAATAATCCCTAGTTAACAGTTTGATTTCTTATAAGATTGTTCTATTTTTTTTAAATAACATTCTTGCATAATTCTGTTCTGTAGTCTATAGATTTGTCTTGTTGTAAAACAAAGAACATAAACACATTAACCATTGAAGGGGTGGGCCTTCATGGCTTATAGTAAAAGAAATCATCTCCTTCACAGAGTACTTGAGCTTCTCTTTTGGAGAAGTTGGTATTGTGTAGCATTATAATTTCCTTTTTCTATTCTCTGGGCTCTAGACAAAAATATACCACTATTTTTCAAAATATTTAATCATTTTAAACAACAAATTAAAATTTTAAGTGGTGGTAGAAAAGTTGTCCAATTACACTGTATTATAAAGATATTAAGATTGCTTTTATTTTTATCTTCCAAATATAAAATTGTATTATGATACTGAATATGTATTTGTAAACTACAGGGCCCTCATCCAGCTCAAGCTGAGAATCCCTGATTGTAAGGACTTAAATTTCATTCCCTTTTCCCAGATTGGGTTGAACAATCTCTGTTTTCGTAGATAGAGGAAGAAATTATTAAAAAAAATTTTTTTAAATAACTATTCATATATCGCTAAAGAAGCAATGAAGGTAAATGCCTTTACTAAAGAAAATTTCTGTGGTTTATTTTAAAAGACAGAATTCATAAAGTCATTTTTAGTCTATAAATATCTGACAAATGAGAGCAAGTGATTAGCTACTTTTCTTCATAATATACTCTTCTTTTTTTTTTGGTTTTCATTATTCCATCACTGTAGAGCAGAGGCATTGGGAATTTAAAGCAATGTTTTTAAATGGAGAGATGCTTTGATTAACAAGGAGGTATATTTATTTCCATTTATCTGATATGATTAATGCAACCTTAGCCCTAGAAGCTGTCAACTTCTTAAGATTTCCAGGCTGCTATGGGTGGCGCAAATGGTTACAGACTTGGCCACTAACTGAAAGGTTGGTGGCTCGAATCCACCCAGAGGTGCCTCAGAAGAAAGGCCTGGCAGTCTACTTCCAAAGAATCAGCCATTGAAAACTCTATGGAACACAGTTCTACTCTGACACACACGGGATCGGCATGAGTTGGAATTGACTTGACGGCAACTGGATTATCTATTGTCTTAGTGTATTTCCTTGTTTTCCTTTTGGACAGGGGCTAATGCAGGAGATCAGTGATCTGAGGTTAAGAGTCAGTGAAATGGACAGTGAAAGACTTCAGTATGAAAAAAAGCTTAAATCAACCAAAGTAAGTTTTCCCACTGGTAAAAATTTTTAAACAAGTGTCCTCCCTATTTCTCTATGATCAGTAATATACATGAAATCTATTTTCTACTTGATATATGCTAAAGAACATACTGTACAAGTGAATGAAGTGTTTCCCCAAGCTGGAAACCTTCTTGAACATCAATGCTACAGTTCTGAATAAAAACCAGGGCTTAACTCATCTGACAGAGCATAACCTGTCATTTGTCTGAATTATCTAACCTCCTTTATAAACTAAAACTATTTTCTTGGTTATTTAGCTTATCTTTTTCTACCTGTAGTTTTCTTTCTCTCCTCTGTCTCTCTACCAGTCTTTAATGGCCAAACTTTCTAGCATGAAAATCAAGGTGGGTCAGATGCAGTATGAAAAGCAGCGGATGGAACAAAAATGGGAGTCACTGAAGGTGTAGTAGACCATGGGTGATGGGGCTTGTGGCCTGTTGCTTTTTATCTTGTGTTGTTTTGCTGTGACGGTGTTTTCAGTAGCATGGGCATTCATTTTGTATGTGTGTTATTTATTCAAAATTGGTTTAAAGCCAGTTGTAGGGACAATGTGATCGCTACTGAGGTTTTCAGAAATGTATGAAATAATTAGTGAAAAATAATAAACAGGTAAAATAAAAGTAAGAGTTTATAAATTACACCTAACTATCTTAGATAGTAGGAGACCCAACCATGGTGAAATAATTGTAGAAGTTCACCTATGAAAGAATTCTGTTTTCTATCAACAGTAAAGAGTGCTTCCCTCCTTCAGGACTTTCTTGAAGGTAGATGTATACAGCAGTTAACTCTATCATGCAGTGAACAGAAGTCACTGCTTAGAGGCAGCCCAGTGAGAACACGGCTGCACTTCTTGCCAGTGCTAGTGCAAATGTCTTATACTTGGCGTCCACTCTTAGCCTGAAAGTAAGTGAAAACTATAGGACCAGCTTCCTAGCTTCATTGGAGAGCTACATCTTCTCATACTACTAAAATTGATAAATATCTTTAGACTCTAAAAATAAAGTGTGTTGTTGAATATAAACCTGCATTTATTGGCATTGCATAGCTCCATTTTTTGTATTAATTACAGCCTGCACAGCTTAAATTTGCAAAAGCTAACTAGAAATTCTTTACCAAAATGAAACTGAACACTAAAACATTAGTAAATAGATAAAACATTGAACATGGAATCTTTAACTGTTACATGGTTAAAAAAAAGTTGACATAGAACTTAAATATCTGCTTTCTAAATATATTTTTTCCATTGTTGGAGGAGAGTTTATTCTTTTATTTTCGTAATGAGAGTAGATTATTTAGTCCCATGATTTGGCTAAAGTTGTTGCTGACCTGCTAACGTACCCACTAATTAAGCTCTATGCTTCTCCAGGGAACATGAGTGCCATCTTGAAATGCTAAATAAATGTCAGACAAGTATTGACAGATACTCCAATTTGCATTTTATCTTGCTTTTATGACACTGAACATTTAATTTGCTTATCTTCCTTAATTAACTTTATCAGGTTTTCCATTTATCATAATATTCAAATCTTAGAGCTATCTTAGTCCCAATTATACTTTAAGAGGTTGTTTTTTTTTTTTAATTTGGTCACAAAGAAACTTGTAAGAATTATAATTATTATAAGTTGAACTTTCATTGTCTCGCTTCCCGCTTATCATTGCCACTGTCTGACTTCTGAAGTGTGTGTCTAAATTCTTGTAGTTTTTGTTTCATTCATTAAAAACTGATAATTGATTTAAATGAGCTAATATGCTCTCTGAAAATCCCCTTTTAGTTGTAAAGTACTATTTTAAAGTGAATTTATAATTTGTAGGATGAACTGGCATCTCTGAAAGAACAACTGTCAGAGAAGGAATCTGAAGTAAAAAGGCTACAAGAAAAATTGGTTTGCAAGATGAAAGGGGAAGGGATCGAAATTCTTGATAGAGGTAAGAGTATTTATTTAATATTTGCTATCTCATTTTTTTTAAATCCTTGGAGATATAGAAAATAATCCAATGTTAATGGATGTGCAATTTAGCATCAAAGAAAGAGAAGGGTAACAGAAGCCGTCTAGACCCAGGTCCACGGGGAATCCTCTGAGACTATTTACTGTGATTGGCAGTCCATTAACTTCCCCGTCAGCAGCTGGAGAAGGACAAGTCTGTACTTTTTTAAGTATTCATTTTAGATTACTAAATTGTAACTTTTCATCATTAGAGTGTGCCTGTCCTAATGGCAATACCAGGAATGTCAAAAAGAACTGTAAAGAGTCGCTACTGTGCCTCAAGGTTGTTCCCTTCTGAACTGAACTTGAGACAATACAAAATTAGAAATTCAGAAACCTATCCTGCCCTTATGAGAGACGGCTCATAAGTGTACATGGCTGTATATCTTTGGAAAATCAGTAAAAATTTCTTACCATACTGAGTAGCGTCTGGGGTCTTAAAAGCCTGTGAACAGCCATCTAAGATACCCCACTGGTCTTACCGCTTCGGGAGTGATGGAGAATGAAGAAAACAAGCTATAAGGGAAGGATTAGTCCAAAGGACTAATGGACCACAACTACCACGGCCTCCACCACACTGAGTCCAGTAGAACTAGATGGTGCCCAGCTACCACCACTGACTGCTCTAACACGAATCACAATAGAGGGTCCTGGACAGAGCTGGAGAAAAATGTAGAACAGAATTCTAACTTACAAAAAAGACCAGACTTACTGGCCTGACAGAGACTGGAGAAACCCTGAGATTATGTCCCTTGAACACCCTTTTAGCTGACTAATGAAGTCACTCCCGAGGTTCACCCTTCAGCCAAAGATTAGACAGCCCCATAAAACAAACAGCCCAGGGACAAGGACTAAAAGGCAGGAGGGCACAGGAAAGCTGGTAATAGGGAACCAAAGGTCAGGAAGGGAGAGTGTTGACATGTCATGGGGTTGTCAACCATTGTTGGAAAACAATATGGGTACTGTTTAATGAGAAACTCTTTGTTCTGTAAACCTTCATCTAAAGTACAATAAAAAATAAAATACTGATTTTCCAAAATAAATTTAAAAAAAATTTCTTACCATAAGTTGAGCCCTCAACCTTTTAGAAAGCAAAAATAGGCTAATTTGATTTTCAGAAAAATATATGAAATGTATCCAGAACATTTTTCATAATTGAGGAGACTTGTTTTGAATATTATATCAACTGTAATTTCTAACAAAGTAGGTTATATTTAATAAAAAATAACTTGAATGAAATGTGTTTTATAAATTACATTTGGAAATATAATGCACATAACATCTGACAATACTGGGTAGAATTCAGTCTTTCTTTGTGATTATAAATGTTTGGTGACTGTGACACTATAAGATACCAAAGAAACTTATGACTCATCCAAAACAGAACAAATTCCATTTAGTGTAGCTTTGATACATTTTTATTATGTGAAAATTAGTAACGTTATCTGTATAATGAAGGACTTGAATTAAATTACCTCTAAAGTCTGTCTTGATTCAAGAATACGAGGATGTTATATATCTGTGGGTATCACAACTCCCTATTAATCAGAAAACTCAATTCACTGAGAGACAGGAATTCTTCCCCTATATTTTGGCAGATGTAGAATTGTGTGTTCTTAAAGGACATTCAGAAGCAGGTCATATTTTTAGGGTTCTAAGAATAAAATAGAATCATAGGACTTGTAGGCTAGAGGATATATTGGAGTAGTGCTACCCAGAGTCTGGTCCGAGGACTGGGTTCCAGTCTGTGAACTGTTTGTTGTTATGCACGAGGGTTTAAGAGCAAGTGTTTAGAAGCTTCGTGGAAATCCGATATTGTCATAGCAGCTAACTGCATGGTCAGTGTCCTCATCTCACTGAAAAGATAGACCAGCTCAGTATTGTTGAACTTGAGTGGTGAACTGAGTGTAGCATAAGCTGTGTACTAGTCACATGCAGGAGGATCATGTGTCAGACTGTGACAGGAATTTTAAAAAAAAAATACTGGGTTTTCACCAAATATAGTGTAACAAATGTAAAAAAGCCAAAACAATAATCATGGGTTTCACCAAATATAGTGTGATGGAAATGTAAAAAACAAAACAGCAACGACTAGTTTTTCATCAAATATAGTATAAAAAGTGCTCGTATAGGCAATGCCCGGGTTATGAATGGATCTGTTCCTAATCCGTCTTAAGTCAAATTTGTAGATAAATCAGAACAGGTACATATGGCTCTTATTTATCGTCAGTCAGTCAAATGTTTGTCTTAGTATATAGTATATATTTTACCTTCCTCTGCAAATAAAGGAGACCTGGTGGCACAGTGGTTAAGAGCCCGCTGCTAACCAAAATGGTTGGCTGTTTGAATCCACTGTTTGCTCTTTGGAAACCCTATGGGCCAGTTGTACTTTCACCTGTAGGGTCGCTATGAGTCGGGATTGACCCAAGGGCAACAGGTTTGGTTTATGCATGTAAAACACTTTAAGAAAGCTGCCAAACCACACAATGTTTTCGTAAGTGTCACAAAGTAGTATTTTTCATTTGTTATTATGAACCATTATTTGTATTTAATTCAAAATTTTAATATAATAGGCTTTATGGCAGTCCGTTCTTAAGTACAAGTTGTCTGTAAGTCCATCATTGGTAACCCGGTGACTGCCTGTACAACACAGGCCTAATTTTAATACAAGAAAATCAGTGTTCAGAAAGATGAAGTCACAGAGGTGGTACTAGAATTCAGGTCTAATGATTAATTATGTAGGATTCTCTTCCTAGCCTCACACAGAGCATTATTTGTTGTAGTACCAGTCCTAAAGCCTCAAAATGGTGCTTACATTTCAGTCCTAATGATATTAGAGTCCCTTTATTATAAGTAAATGGAGACTAAATAATAGTGCTTTTAAAATATTATTTCTTGTTGTAATGTATGCTAACTTCCAATTCGATGGGTTTTCCTGCACAGATGAAAATTTTAAAAAGAAGCTCAAAGAAAAAAGTAAGGTTTTTGGTGTCTTTCCATCAGCCTTTACGTTCATCAAAATTACTACTTGGACTGCTCTCTGCATGTGTTTTAAAACATTTCTCTCACCAAAGACGTAAAGTTGCTTCATCGATAAGCCCTCCATTTCTTCAGAGTATATAAAACAGAGGGTGAGCAAAGACACAATAAAAACCAGGAGTAAAAGACTGTTACACAGATTTTGCCTGATTCAACCCTTTTGCTCCACAGAATGCAACAGGGCACTCAAAGTGGGGGAGATGAGAAAACGTTTTCGCTGTGGTCCAGGAGGTCCAGGGTCAGAAGAGAAAATAGCCATTTATCCTCTTATGAAAACCCACCATTCCTAAGGTTTACCAGTATTGAAAGATCAGTTTGAACTTGGCTTTTGCTTTTCAGTGTTTTAATTCCAGTTTGCTGAAATCTACAATAGATGCTAAAAAGGAACACTGGTGGTGCAGTGGTTAAGCACTCAGCTGCTAATCGAAAGATTGGCGGTTCAAACCCACCAGCTGCTCCACGAGAGGAAGATGTGTCAGTCTGCTTCCATAAAGATTTACAGCCTTGGAAACCCCATAGGGCAGTTCTACTCTGTCCTGTAGGGTCACTATGAGTTGGAAACGACTCGATGGCATCAGGACAATAGATGCTTATTTCCCTGAATATACCCTATGCCCTTTTGGTGTTATAAAAAAGATCATTTCCAGGCTGATTAATGAAGCCTGAGTTATTTAATGAAACATAAAGATAAATCCTTCATGGGATCTTGCCCCCAGACATGGAATCCTTCAATCAAGGGAATTTACCTTAAAGGGGTGGGCGGTGGGGGGAGGGGTATTCCTAAAGAATACACCTTAGTGGAAAATGTTATGTCAGTGCTGAATGATACACCAAATTATCTTAAGTAGTATTTTTTTTTTTCCTCGGAAGCAAGCAACTTTAGCAGATTTTTTGTTCTCAGTTTTAATTCTTAATTTGTGGTTTCATTTTGGGGTAACTCTTATAATCTTTAGAATATTTATTTTTTATTATTAAAGTAACATGCTTTTGTATTTGAACTCTAAATTTTAACGAAAATCACATTCAGCTATCTTTGGCTTTTAGGTCTTAAAATCTTTTTAAACATAGTATTGGAAATGAAGTTTATAGATGAAGCAAAGTACTTATTGTCCTTCTTTACGGAGCCTCCCACCAACTTCTTAGCATGACTACTCTTGTAAAGGTCACACTCCGTCAGGCTTTGCCATTTGTGCCTCCAGCTTGGTTACAACTAAATATCATTCTCTCTGCTTTTGTCATTATGTACACTGTTCATTGCTTTCATCCACTGCTTTATAGGTTCTTTTTTTTTGAAAACTTCATGGTTTTGTTGTTACAGCACTCAAATTTCATCTTCAGTGTTCTCATGAGGATGTTGTTGTTGCTCAGAGAGGGTAGTTAGCTCTCCATACCCTTGTTGTTTTCTTTCTGGAATGGCAACTGTTTAGGTGAGGTAGAAGGTGCTTATTTTTCAAATTTTACCTAGAAGAGTATGTGTGTTAAATATGCTTCCCCCCTTTTTTAAAAAACAAGTTATTAACATCTTTACCTGAAAACATTTCAGTCTGAAGAGTAAGTAACTTCTTGTTATAGTCACACATGTTAACTGACTTCTGATTTGATGTTGTGTTCTTTTCAGATATTGAAGTACAAAAAATGAAAAAAGCTATGGAGTCTTTGATGGCAGCAAATGAAGAAAAGGTATCAAATAAAATTTTATTTGGATGTTTTGTAACACAATTTTGTTCATTCAAAGTATTTTCTTAAGGTATCCCAATTTGAAAGAACATACCCAAAACACTACTTATATTCTCCCTCCCTGCCCAAATGTGTACATCTCAGTGAAGGCAGTTGTGATTGTAGCTGCATGCACAGGAAATGGGGACCAACAGCACTGGCCCCACCTCTTACCTGAGAAACCATCCCCGTCCCACTCATGAATTCAGAAAATGTTTAATCCATCAGATCAGTTCTGTAATTCAGGTGACTAATGACAGAAAAAATATCTTCCATAGTATCCTTTCTGTGTCACTGGGAATTCCGGGCTAACGCATGAACTCTGAAAGAGAGAGCCCATGACAACTTCAGCTTCATGGTCTTGTCGTTTTTCTTCTTCATGTACATATTATTTCCTTCACACTCCTGGCTTCTTTTACATCTGGGTTTGTCTCTGCTGTACTGAAAGGTGAGATACTAGAAAACAGAAGCAGGGTACCATGCAATTAAGAACGAGCCTAGGCTTTGTTTTAACTATACTGGCCTGATGCCACGTCTTCAGGGCTCTTCTTCCCCCGGCTGGTTCTCCTCACCCACATCTGGTGTTTCATCCGGCTAAGAGCAGTGTGTTACCCTATACTAAGGCAATATGTTTCTTCGTGGTTTTCCTGCCTAGGCAGCTCATGGCCTCAGAACTGCTCTCTCCTTGTGTCCCTTTAAGAGTAGAAGAAACTAGTTTGCTATATAAACCTTTATCTAAAGTACAGTTAAAAAAAAAAAAAGAACAGAACAAGTGTTATGGAAGCTTCATAGACACATGCAAAGTCCCTGAGGGACCAAATTACTGGGCTGAGGACCGGGGACCATGGTCTTGGGGGACATGTAGCTCAATTGACATAACGTAGTTTATAAAGATAATGTTCTACATTCTACTTTGGTGAGTAGCATCTGGGGTCTTAAAAGCTTGTGAGCGGCCATCTAAGATACTCCACTGGTCTCACCTCACCTGGAGCAAGGGAGAATGAAGAAAACCAAAGACACAAGGGAAAGATTAGTCCAAAGGACTAAGGACCACGACTACCACAGCCTCCACCAGACTGAGCCTAGCACAACTAGATAGTACCCAGCTACCACCACCGACTGCTCTGATAGGGATCACAATAGAGGATCCCAGTCAGAGCTGAAGAAAAATGTAGACCAAAATTCTGATTCACAAAAAAGACCAGACTTACTGGTCTGACAGAGACTGGAGAAACCCTGAGAGTATGGCCCCCGATACCCTTTTAACTCAGTGCTGAAGTCACTCCTGAGGTTCACCCTTCAGCCGAAGATTAGACAAGCCCATAAAACAAAATAAGATTAAAAGTGCATACCAGCCCAGAGGCAAGGACAAGAAGGCAGGAGGGGACAGGAAAGCTGGTAATGGGGAACCCAGGGTTGAGAAGGTGAGAAGATTGACACGTTGTGGGGTTGGCAACTAATGTCACAAAACAATATGTGTATTAATTGTTTAATGAGAAACTAAAGCACAATTTAAAAAAATATTTAAAAAAAAGAAAAGAAAAAAAGATTAGAACAAGGGGGCATTTTCCCAAGAAAAGGGTAATTTCAAGGAAGTAAAAGACAACAAAATACCAAAGAACTTTGGCTTGATCTGTTTCTCTCATCATAAGTTTCTTTTTCCAATTCTTGCCTAGTATGTCTTTCTTGTCTCCCTTTTTTTTTTTTTCTGCCTTTCATTCTCTTTAGTTGCTCTTTATTCCATAGAAATAAACTCATTGTCTCTTTACCCCTGTCCTCCACCCACACTTTGTGCATGGATTTTTTTTTTTTTTTTGCTAGTCTTTCTCTCATTTGGATATAAAGAAAAGTAATTATCAAGCTTCCACCATAGTTTTTCTTTTTTGAAGAATCACTGAAATTTATTGTGCTTTAATTTCTCTCCTCAAGCAGCACCAAGAGTGGCATGACTTCCTTGGAGCTTCCAGGCTTCAAAGGGGATATTGAGCAAATTCTGAGAAAGAGCGGGAATTGTTCATCAGGAAAATGAGGGCTTCTAGGCAGAGTCCCATGAGCCAAAACATGTCTCAAAACCAAGGCTTGAAACAGCCCAGTGCATACTGGAAAAGTGCTGGAGTGTGAGATGTAGGTGGTGGGAGTGTGTGAGGCTAACAAGAGAGCTGCAGTCAGACGGTGGGAAACCTTATATGCTAGGCTAATGATTTGGGGTCTTAGCTTGTAGTCCTTTGGCAGTGATATAATTAAATTGACATTTTACGACTTTTTTTTTTTTTAATTATACTTCAGGTGAAGGCTTACAGAACAAATAGTTTCTCATGAAACAGTAGTACACATATTGTTTTATGACATTGGTTAACAACCCCACAACATGTCAATCCTCTCCCTTCTTGACCTTTTTTTTTTTGGGTGAAAATATACATAGCCAAAGATACACCATTTCAAAAATTTCTACATGCACAGTTCAGTGACACTGACTACGCTCTTCCAATTGTGCTGCTATTCTCACTTTAAATGAAGGCTTACAGAACAAAATAGTTTCTCATTTAACAGTTAGTACACATGTTGCCCTATGACAATGGTTAACAACCACACAACACATCAACACTGTCCTGACTCAACCTTGGGTTCCCTATCACCAGCTTCCTTGTCCGCTTCTGCCTTCTGTCCCTTGTCCCTGTACTGCTGTACCTCATTAGTCCCGTTTGGTTTTATGGGGCTGTCCACTCTCAGGCTGAACAGTGAACCTCAGAGATGACTTCACCACTGAGCTAAAAGGGTGTCTGGGGGCCATACTCTAAAACTGACATTTTAGAAAGCCTAACTCTAGTGGCAGAATGAGGCAGGAGTGAAGGACGGAGAGTGAAGACATGTAGAAGGATTAAGAGGCCGTTAAAATAGTCTAAATTTCCATGGATGGCTCAAATGGTTTGAGCCTAACTACTAACCTAAAGGTTGGTGGTTCAAACCCAGCCAGTGGCACCACAGAAGAAAGACTTGGCGATTTGCTTCTATAAAGATTACAACCAAGAAAAAACCCTATGGAGCAGTTATGCTGTGTAACACATGGGGTCACCATGAGTCGCAATCAACTTGGCAGCATTGGTTTTTTGTTTTTGGGTTTTTCTTTAATAGTCTAGGTGAGAAATGAAGAGGGCTTGAAATAAGACAATGACAGTGAAGTAGCAAGGAGGAAAGAGATTTTAGAGAAATTTAGGAGTTGACAATATTTAAAGGTCTTCGCCCTGACAGGAAACACAACAGAGAGTCCCTGATGGAGCAGCGGAAAGGTGGGGTGCAGAACTCAAATTCTAGTAAGAAGACCAGACTTAACTGTCTGACAGAGACTGGAGGTACCCTGGAAAGCATGGCCCCTAGATTCTCTATCAGTCCAGAACTAAAACAGTTTCTGAGGCCAACTCTTCAGACAGGGATTGGACTGGACTGTGGGACATAAAGTGATACTCGTGAGGAGTGTGCCTCTTAGTTCAAGTAGATACAAGAGACTAAACGGGCAGCTTCTGTCCGGAGGTGAGGTGGGAAGGCAGAGAGGGTTAGGAGCTGGTTGAGTGGACATGGGGAATCAGGGATGG